TTCTCTGAGTCCCCCTATTATTGGCACATGCTTTCCATTTTAAGTTGTTCTCTTTTTAGTAACTGCTCCAGGCTCTCAATTCCATTTTTGATTGAATTCATTCAGTCTGATTTCTTTGGTTTTAGTTTCTTCTTTCTTATCTACTGTCCTTTCCATGGGGCCACTTATATCACATGCCATATTCAGCGTGGTTTCTAGCAGTCAGTAGACAGCTTCCTCTCTAGATACATTGGCGTATAATTCCCTGGTGCTTGCAGGTCAGACAGTGACCCCAGTAGACTCTTGACAATGTCTTTTGTGGTGACTTACAGTAAACAGTATTTAATAGGCACACAGTTATTTGTGGTTGGAAAGATAATGGATAGACAATTGGCGGCCAGTTCTTCACAGTCTTATGCATTAAGTTAATCATTTTCTATCTTTGATATAAACATTTTTATTTTCCTGTTTCTTCTCTATGTTACTATATATTCTCTTTGCTCTAGTCAAATTGGAATTAACTGTATTTCTTCAACTATAACCTGCACATATACCACTTTTTTGCTTACCCCAAGCAACCAAATATTATACCGGTATACAGACAATGTGTTGTAGTTAAACCCTGTGGACCCTCAAATCAGCTGGGCCTGAGTTTGAATCCTAACTATCTCTTACTTCATCACCTTGTGTCATTTTCTTGAATAATTTACTTAGAATTTCTATTTCTGCTTCCTTATTGTCAACTGAGGATAAAAATAAGATCCACCACCCTGGCTGGTGTAGCTCAGTGGATCGAGCATGGGCTTGTGAACCAAAGAGTTGCTCATTTGATTCCCAGTCAGGGCACATGCCTGGGTTGTGGGCCAGGTCCCCAGTAGGGGGTGCAGAAGAGGCAAACACACATTGATGTCTCTCTCTCTCTTTCTCCCTCCCTTCCCTTCTCTCTAAAAATAGATAAATAAAATCTTGAAAAAAAAGATCTGCCCATTAGCATTGTGATAAATAAATATAACAATGTACATAAACTACTCACACTTTGCCTTGAACATATTAAGGATCCAATAAATCAGTGATTTTCAACCCTTTTCATCTCATGGCACACATAAACTAATTACTAAAATTCTGTAGCACACCAAAAAATATACATTTTTGCCAATCTGACAAAATATAGGTAAAATTTTGATTCATTCACACTGGATGCCTATTGTTGTATTGGCTGCTGTCATTTGTTTTTATCTGACAATTTAAGGGCAAAGAGGTCAGTGCTGCTGACTAAATAGTCAGGCATTGCATGTTTTGAAAATTCCTGTGGCACACCAGTGTGCCTCTTGAAGCACAGTGGTTAAAAATCACTGCCATATGTAAGCCGCCTCTGGGACAACTTCAAGCATTCCAATATTTGTATCATAGGGCTGCCAGAAGGAGAAAAGAAAGAGTAAAAAAATTGGAAATCTATTTCAAAAAATAATAAAAGAAAAATTCCCTAATTTGGTGAAGGAAATAGACATACAAGTCCAAGAAGCACAGAGAGACCCAAACAAGATTGATGCAAAGAGGCCCACTCCAAGTCACATCATAGTCAAAATGCCAAAGGTTAAAGATAAGGAGAGAATCTTAAAAACAGCAAATAAAAAGTAGTTAGTTATCTAAAGCCGAGTTCCCATAAGACTGTCAGCTCATTTCTCAAAAGAAACTTTGCAGGCTAGGAGGGATTGGCAAGAATATCCAAAGTCATAAAAAGTAGCTACCTACAGCCAAGATGGTTCTACTCAGCAAAGATAGCATTTAGAATTGAAAAGCAGATAAAGAGCTTCTCAGACAAGAAAAAACTAAAGGAGTTAATCATCAAGCCATTATATGAAATGTTAAAGGGGCTTATTTAAGAAAAAGAAGATCAAAACTATGAACAATAAAATGGCAAAAAATATATCTATCAACGATTGAATCTAAAAAACAAACTAATCAAGCAAGAAGAACAGAGACAGAATCATGGATATGAAGAATGTTTTGATGGTTGCCAGATGGGAGGGGTTGTGGGGGAAATGGGTAAAGAGGTGAGGGGATTAAGAAGTACAAATAGGTTGTCACAGAATAGCCATGGGGATGTGAAGTACAGTATAGGAAATGGAGTAGCCAAAGAACTTATACACATGACCCATGTATATGAACAATAATGTGGAAATTTCCTGAGGCAGTGGGGGTGCTGGATGGAGGAGGGCAAAGGAAGAAAAACTAGGACAACTGTAATAGCATAATCAACAAAATATGATTTTAAAAAATCACTGCAATAATTGGTAGGCATTATTACTGATGGTTGTTCCAGAGGAATTTCAATCCTATTAAGTGACATGGTTTCTAACAGTCCCTGAGACAAACTAACCCACAAATGCCCCTTTTGGAATAACAAAAATGCCCACAAGGACAAGGTAAGATATAGAATGATGGTTAATGTTGTTTCTTTCGGCATCTTGACTATTTCTGCATGTCCTCCATGGAACCTAGAATGATGAAATTTGGTAAATTATTGATCCCCCGAAGTCCAGAAAAGACAAGAACTAGAAACCAATAATAAGTTAGCGATGACCTTTGTGCATTTACTTTTTAGATCTGTGATCACTATAGAAGTGTTGTGTGGTGTGTGTCTAAACCTCAAGTGTTGCTTCAGGCTACATTTCAAATAAAGACAAGGACATGCTTTAGTATTAAACATTTTTTGTGTAAGATTTTAAAATTTGATTTACTTGTAAGAGATCATTATTGGACTTTCTCAGCCCTTTAAAATCAGATGGATGAGATTTATTGCATGTGTTTTGAAAGCCAGTTGCCGTTCTTTGTTGAAACTCTTCATAGGTGGTTTCAGAATGGTGACATGTTGTGTAAAGGATGCCATTTTTCATTCCAAAAGCTATCAATTATTTTGTCTTGTATTGTCACTGCCAACATATGATCTCCTACTTGGAAGTAGCTAAGCACTTGCAAAATCAAATAGGTATATAACAATGACAATGACTTAGAAATAGAAAGAAATAGACACTGGTCTTGATTCAGTGTCTAACTGTAATCTTCAGGGGCAGCATGCTTTCACCTTGGATTTCTGGCTGCCTTTGATTCAAATGTTGACAGTAAATAACTTTGTCTGATTCAGTCAAATTCTCTTCACACTGGTTTCCATGACTTGTTTGCCTCTGTCTCATGGTGAGCATTATTCATGAATGTGGTATGATTCATTACTTAGGTTATAGAAAAGGCATCCACATTCCACTCTAGGGCTGTCATCATTAAGCCCGCAGAGGGAAAAAAATAAAAAGACTTCCAGTAATTGGGTGGAGAAAGGTGTGGGTCTGAGACCTTCCTTAACTATTCTAAAAGAAGTCATTTTAGTGGAATGAACTCATGTTGAGGGGTAGAGGGTTGGGCCTTATTTTTAATTTTAAGGGGATTTACACTACATTCTTCCTTCTTAACAAAACAGTGGCAGCAATGAGGGTATTACCTGCCAACATTAGCTGATGCAAAACAGACTTGAACTCCCTCCATTGTCTCCTCTAAAACACACATTCATCACACACACTCTGGTTGTGATGAGGGATCTGATTTTCCTGTAAATGTCAGCCAAAGCCTGGTTTGTTTTTTTCCCATCAAAATTTCAAAGGTTACTCAAAACAATTTTTCACAGAAATTATAAAGAGACGGAGGTTTCCTAATGAGAATCTGATCTCTGTGACTTGCCTGTCATTATAGCGTTCTTACTGGCCGACTTCTATTGACTCACTCTAATAGTTAACCTCTGAAGTCAGCATTGTAAACTAATACCAATTTGTGGCCGGCAAATATGATTTCAAAGGCCACTTACTTTAAGATACACAAGCTATGTTTTAAGCTGAAAAAAAAAAGCACCACAAACCATAATCGGATGTGCAGCACTTTTCCTGCCTTTAAAATATCAATGTACCATTTTACAGCTAATTAATCCTTGAAATAACCAGGAATCACAGCAGATGATGTCTGTAGTGATTTGGTCATATTTAGGTAGGGGCATTTGAAGCTTTGGGAACAAAGACTTTCTTTTGTAAACAGAGTAAAATGTATTGACCCATTCAACAATGATTTGCTGTTTTTGCTGTATTTGTGCCTGACTATGCAATAAAAATGACAGGATGAACTGGTATAGAAATCTTTTTAACAAATTTTCCTGGAGATCAATTAGCTTTCAATGAACAATGGTGGTTCTGTCTTTTACAAATGAGGGCTGGGGAGGGGAGGTTAATGGGCGATGTGTAGAGAGATATTAAGCCACATGCAGTGCTTTGGGAAACTGCCCAAATGTGGATATTTCAGAATAATGTAAATTGCATTGCTCTGTTATTAGAATGAAATGAATACAAGTAAACACAACTCATGTATACTGTCTTCTCAATATAATCCCAGTAGGTTTTCTTGAACACAAAGCTCGTTCCTTTCCCTATTTTGGTTCTTTGTGTTGCTCTACCTGAAATATGGTTTCTTCAATTCAACCCAGCTAGTGTATAACATTTTTGTTGCACTAGCTAAAGTTTTAGCTTCTACTTACAGTCTAATTAGATTTTTTCACTTCTTATTAGTTTTGTCCACCTCTGAATTCCTGGAACACTGGTTAGGACCAACGATATTAGCATAGAGCCTGTTCTTATATTTATCTTGTCCACCAGGCAAGAATAAATTCCTTGAGGTCATGAAGTGAGACTGTTAGATGTGTATTTCCTACCCTTATATTCTCTGCCTCCCTCTGCAGGCATGTTGGAAGTGCAATAGAAATCACGGTTAGAAGATACCTGATCACCTTGTTTGACTACATGTGTTTCAGTAACGAGTTGTTGAACACCCCTGCAGACATAGAATCTTTAAATGATGGAGGCAGCCCATCTCATTATTATATAGCACTAATTGTTATAGAGTTCTTCCTATTCAGAGCCACACTCTCCTGTTTCCTGTGCTGAATAAAGAAGCATTATTGTCAACAAATTTAAACATCATATTTCTAGGGCAGGAGCACTGAAAGCAGACAACCCATGTTCATCTCCGTTGAATCGGGTGCTCATTCATTTAACTAGTGGCACAGTAGAACCAGATGTGCTCCGAGCTTAGGTAAGTGTGGAATGAGATGAATTTTAGCACACAAGTTGTCGTTTTGTTGGTGATGCTTATTTTTGCTGTTACTGTCCTCAGGAGTTCTTTTTAGCAAATGTAAATAAAGAGCGCAATCAACATGTGGGGGGAGGAGTTTCCTTCCCCAGACAGAATAAGAAAATACATGGACAGAGCCAAAGCGGGTAGGATCAAGGGTGGGAGGTAGAGATGGCTGGGATGGGAGGAAGTGGAGGGGTGAAAAGACAACTGTACTTGAACAACAAGAAAAAAGAGAGAGAAGAGGAAAATACAACCCACAAAGCCCTACAGGTATTGCACAGGAGAAAAGCATTAAACATAGGACAGAAATCCCAAGAACAGTATTCGGTTAAAATGATGAGGTTTTGGAGACTTCTTGAAAATAAAAAATGAATGCTGTGAATCGACCAGTCTCATTCCCCCTTTTTTATCACTTTCAACACTGACACTAAATAATAAAATCATTGGCCTTTTAAGCCATTTGTTTTCTGTTAAATTTCAAAGTGATGTTGAAAGCAAATAAAGTAGTGACTTTTTTGTTGTCTATTCTTTTTTAACAGTGAAGTAGTGAACTAGAATGAAACACGGAAATAATGAAGACAAGTTTTCTAGGATGTGAAATGTTTGATAGTTGCTGGTTTATTGTTAATTTCCAGATGTATTTTCCAAATATTGATTCTTAAATCATGCTCTGTTCATAAAGATTTTTAAAACCCTCTGAAAATATTAATTTATTTATTGAGCATGCATGTACTAACTACGGGTACTTTGCAAAGCTAGAGTACATATTATCTTTTGTGAGAAATTTCCTTACACCAAGACAAGGGGAAACATACACACAAAAAACTAAATAGCTAGAAAAGCATAACAAATGCTGGTGGAAGTTCACAGAAAATGTCAGAAATCCCAGGACACAGAGCTAATTCTTGGTGGAAAATAGTCCACGTAGTTGTAGTTATATTACAACAAGGGCATACTGACTACTGCATTTCGTTTTAAAAATATTGGTTCATGAATAATAATCTCACATCATTTTAAATCACAGATGCAGCATTATATATTTTTAAGAAAAATTATGATATTGTATCTTTTAGGCAAGAATGTTGACAAGGAGGAAACAATGAGAAACAAAAATGCTGCGGACTTGATCAGGGAGCAGTGGAAGGGTAGTTGGAAATTTGTTTCAATACACCGGCACCCGAAACCCCATGATACTGCTCCCTTCAAAGGAGGCTGCAAATTACAAATGTGAACCACGTTGCTTGCCTGAGCAAGCTGGGCTGTGGCGGTGTCATTCCCACCACTTCATTCTTCTCACAGAGGTAATGGCTAATGGCAACTTAACAAGGGGGTGTGTGATGTGGTCACACGACGGATGGTGGTGGCAGTGATTCTTTGCTGATAGTTTCTATTAGATGTAGACCTCCTGACACTCATTGATCAACTGTGTGAAGCCTTAAAGGATAAGTAATTTGTCCTGGCTTCCAAATTGGTGCTTCTGTATTGAATCCTCAGGTGACCCTCCCTGTGCAAGGTTCTCATGTGAATAACAGTGAAATCTATAGGACTGAGATTCGAGACCTCTGCCAGCAGTACACGGTACCATTAGTTTTATCAGGCATCTCTGGAAAGTTTCAACCTTTTTTTAAAACAGGGTTTATTGCACCAAAAACACTGCAAAATAGAGTGAAACCAAAGAGAAATTAAAAATCCCAACACTATGCATTTTGATTTATTTCTAGTAGGAATTATTTCTAGTAAGAACATTTTTCTGTTCAAATTCTAGATTATGTTTAAAAAATAAAATTTATTGATTGTGGAGATAAATTTTCCCCCAAAGAATACATCAATTTACACTCTACTAACTGCTAGTCACATAAAGGAAAACAAACAAATACATGTGACTTTTGCCTCCCGAAAGCTCACAGGTAGAACATTTCAATCTTATAATGTTTTCTTGTAAAAGTTGCCACCGCTCTGAAGGTATATTTGACTGTGTATATCTTATCGCTCTAGCGTTGCCTCTTAGGATTTTGAGACTGAACAGTAAAGGAACACTTGCTTTCCCAGGGAGCTCAGTGACTAGTTTTTCACGTTACTCTGAAGGTGATTATGTAGAAAAAGGAATTCAAGTCTGCTTCAGTTTGGTCAAATTAAACTCATGTGTTTTTTGCCTTTCATATTTCATTGTCAAAATCCCATTCAAAAGGCAAGACATATATTTATTTAAGAAAGTGATCCACAATATGGCCTAGTGGGAAAAGGTAAGATTACCATGACTGAGTCTGAAATGTTGAGATATTCCTGGAAGATCAAAGACAAATGAACATACAAACTATGAGAGAGAGAGAGACAGAGGAAGAGAGAGGAAAAAACTATTATAGTAATGAGCAGTGCCTTCTATCAAAGCTCTAGAAAAATGGTGAGCTTAGAGACAATTCCTAAAGGGTCTTTATCGGGGTCATCAAATACAAAGCTATTGGCAGAAGGTCAAAGAAAAGAAGGCCTAGGAAGCAGAGAAGTAAAATAGCCAGAAAAATCTTTGCAAAGTCAACAGTATTCAAATGAAAAAACGAGGAAGAAATCCAAATGGTGACCCCAGAAGAAATGGAGGCAACAGTAAAACATAAAACGAAAACAGAAACAAAACAGAATAAAAAAGAAAATTTATATTTTCAGGGGAAGCCAAAGGATTGTACATATGTAAAATATGAAAAGATTGATAGAAAAAGGAGTAATTGGCAACTACAAAATGCTTCTTAAAAATTAAAATATGATGGCAAAAATTAAAATTTTAATGGAAGGGCTTTATAATAACTGACTATGGTTGAAGATTATTATGGACTTAATGTTCATGCCCCTCACCCCTAACTTTATAAGTTAAAACCCCAACCCATAGTGGGATGGTTATTGGAAGACGAGGCCTTTTTGAGATGAGAACGAGATGTCATGGGGGTGGAGCTCAAGAGTGCGATCAAGTGCCTTGATGAGAAGAGTCACCAGAGATTCCTTTCCTTCTCACTACGCTGTCCTGTGAGGACACAGCAAATCCGCAGTCTGCAACCCAGGAAGGCACTTCCCAGACCAGGCTGGCATTCTGATCTCAGATGTCTAGCCTCCAGATGGGTGACAAATACATTCCTATTGTTTATAAGCCACCAAGTTCATAGTATTTTGTTATAACAAGTTGAGCTAACACAAAGACTGACTTAGAAGTTGATAGAAATGGTTATCTTTCAGAAAGTGGAGCTAAAATAAAATCACCAGATGAAGTAATATAGAAAAGGTAAGATCACTGAATACTTACATGGGAAAGGCATACCTAGGATCAACCTAATAAGCATTTTAAAAACAAAATAAAAAGAGATTGGGGGGAAGATAATCAAAGGCAAGATGTAAAGAATTACACCGAGATTAAGAAAGACTCATATCTTCTCACAGCTTGCTGAGCAGACCTCCCAAACCTCTAGGCTATGAGAATAAAAGGGATAATAGAACAGCAAGCTCCTTACCATGGAATGAAAATCTCGTCAGACTTATTATATGAAGATCATAGTGCAGGGAGATAAAAAAATTTATGTCTTCAAAGTGCCAAGAGGAAGCAATGCATATTCATAAAAAGTGATTTCAGACATACTGATACTTAGAAAATACATGTTCACTATGATCAAAATTAATCGATAATAGAATCTGGTGAAAGAAAAAAATAAAAAAAAGAAAGGACATGCAGGGTAAGAACAAATGATGAGTAAAGATAAAAAAGGTTTGTAGGAACATCTAAACAATTTTTTTGCCAGTGTAATTCTGAAATTTAATACAGTGAAAGAAGAGATTTTCTAAATAATGCAAACAAACAAAACTAATCTAGAACTAAATTTCAACATGATTTCAGTAAGATATGGTAAGGAGAGTAAATAATAAGATGATGAATGCCTTGTTTCAATTAAAAAAACAGTATAGTTATAGTTTAATCCCTGATGTTGAAAGACAAATTAAAATGCATTTATAAAAAATTATAGGTAGCATCTGGAAAAAGATAGTAGCTATATAATTTCTAACCATGAGATGACAAAGCAAATTAACCAATCAGACTATCACTTTTAGAAAAATGAAACCTCTATATAATGAATAGAAAATAGGCAGAGAAATGGCAGGCAAGAGTCAAATATTATTAGCAAACACAATAAATTAAATGAGTTAAACCCTCATATAAAACAGTGAAATTTTAAAAATAGGATTTAAAAAACAGATACATAATTTTTTATTACTAGAGGCACGTCACAAACTACCCAGAACAGAATAGACAAAAATAAACCATATTCATACCAGGAGTGGTGATAGTAATAATTGATTAAATATGATTCTGAATGAAAAAGCATTCAATTGGACTAAGCGTGATAATTCACAGTGTTAAAATGCAAGATTTATCAAGAAGAAATAGCATCCATGTGTCTTTATGGGTCTGAATGATATGGCATTAAAATTTATAAAGCAAAAATTGTCAGATGTAAGAAGACATTCATAAAAGTGCTGTATGGTGGTTTATAATGTAACTCTAGTGTTGCCTGCATTACAGATAAATCCAGATGGAATCATTTACTTTTGAATAATGAATCCCTTTGATATTTCCTTTAAGTGGGTTTGCAGTAATGAATTTTCTGTTTTGGTTTGTCTAAAAATATTTTTCTATCACCTTCATTTGTGAAATACAGTTTCACTGCCTACAAGATTCTCAGTTGCAAACTATTTTCTTTCAGTGAAGATACTGCTGTCTTGTTTTGCAGTTTCTATTTTGTTCTATTTTCAGCTGTTTGTATTAGTGTCCTTCCTTCGAAGGTATGTGTTATTTGTCTCAGGCTGCTTTCAGGATTTTTCTCCATGTTCACTTTTGTGTACTCCGTTGTAGTTGTGCTCTTTTTCCTTAAAAAAAAATCCTTATTGCTTCAGATTGAAAATCCAACTTGATTTCTCCATTGGTAGTGGAAATTCTTATCCTCATCACTAAATATTTCTTGTACTCCATTCTTGCTGTTCTGCTAGGATGCAACTTTTAGACCGTTTATAGTACATCCTGTTTGTCTCTTTTGTGCTTTTTCCTTGTATCCTTTTTTTAGACTGGATGATTTATCCTAATCTATTTTTTTTTCAGTCTAACCATTTACAATGATTACCTCAATTTAACATGGTCACTACCTCAAGTCTTATTTTCCATTTAAGTTTAGTCTCAAAATGGATTAAAGAAAGAGAGGTACTAGTATGGGAAAGTGTACTCATATAGAGGCAATAGACTAGCACAATTTAAAAAAGAATACTCGAAGTGTGTGTGCAAGTGTTACTGACATGGTTGGAGGGGTGGCCTCATTATTAAGTGGTGTTGAAGGTCCTCTCTCTTCACTAAACCTCCTCTGACACTATCCCATTGGGGAAAGGGAAGGCAGGGAAGTCCAGGCTTCCCATATGTTCTCATTTACATTACAAAGGGGTCTTGTTACCGGCTAAAGGGGTGACTCTCCCAGGTCCCTGCTTGGCACCCTGACACTACCTCTGCGGGGGCTGTGGAGTCACCTCTTTATAGTTCTGTGAGGGAGAGTAGGCTCCCCACTTGTCATTGCTGGCATAGGTGCAAAAGGGGTCACAGTTTTTTCTCTGTTTTTTTTCTTTGGCGGAAGTAGAGTGGTTATTGTCTAAAAGTGTTGTCTTGAGAAGGTGCCTTTTTCTTGGTCCTTTGCTAGAGAGTGATCTTTTGTTGGAACTTTGCCTGCAGCCAATGCTGTTTCTGGGTTGCTGTCTTTCTAGTTACAAGCCTGGGCTCTAAGAGAAAAAAAGAAACCCCAGGAAACTCATCACAGTCATCCTTTGAGACCATGGTGCCTAGCTGGTCTGTCTTTGCTCTACATTTCAATTTTCCTCTTTGTTTTAAAATATTATATAGCCCAGGATTTTTAGTTGACTTGGGTGGTAGAATAGAAAAATGCATTCCACTTTATCTTTCTGGAAGCAGAAGTAATCCTCATCTCAGGCTTGGTACGACTTTAGTATATAATGACTTGGAATGTTTTTTTCTTCTGAGATGACTCTTAGTTAAATTTGCCTTGAGAAAAATTTTAGATATTAAGATTATTAGCTCTTTTGTCCTGTATGAACAAATATTTTCTGAAAATTTTAAATTTGACTATCAGTTTTATTTATGGTGGTTTTTTCCAGCCACATAAAATTTGAAACTCTCCATGGGAAAATGTCTGTAATAGTTATTCTTTGTGAATTTTTTATTGTTTTGAACTAATGCATTTTATGACCATCTGCAGTTCAATAAATTTTTTCA